AAAATAGACCCTTCCTCCCTTAAGCTGCTTTTCTCAGAGTATTTTGTCACAGCAACAGGAAATAAACTAAGAATTTGCTTCTCTCTCTGCTCCTTACTCTGGATGGATGTGACCAGCTCCTGTCTTGACTTTCAGGGAATGATGGAGTATGACCCAAAATTATAAGCCAAATAAACTCTTTTCCTCCCCTAAATAGCTTTTTCTCAGGGTGCTTTGTCACAGCAACAGTAATGAAACCAGAGCAAGGGGTAAATGCCAGATGCTTTGGGGTATGGGTTTTTTTTTAATTTTATTTATTTTTATTTTATGTATATGCTTGTATTACCTGCATGTAGGTAAGTGCACTTATGTTGTGCAATGCCTGCGGAGGACAGAAGAGGCTGTTGGATCCCCTGGGACTGGAGTTACAGACAGTTGTTAGCTGCCTTGTGGGTGTGGGATTCGAACCCAGGTCTTCTGCAAGAATAACCAGTGTTCTTAATCACTGAGCCAACTCTCCAGCCCCTGGGGTATGGGTTTCTAAGATTATTTAAAGAACCTTGAGGCCACACTGGTGGGCTGAATCAAAATTTCCAGAGCCCTGATGGAGAAGCAGATGGGTTCATGAGACCAGAGTTAACTGCACAGATTAAATGAACAGGTGAAGAGACTGGTTTTGTTTTGGAACATCACAGCGTTATTCAAATGCCCTGCCTTCTGGGTGTGTTCGGAAGCCCTCTGCTGCTTCCACTTTAGCTTTTTATGTATCATAACAAGGTCATCGACTCTGATTTTGTACACTGAAATGTATAAATGACATCTGCTGTCCCCTATCTGACCTCTTCAGAATTCAAAATTCTTACTGAATCTGCTTATGAGTTGGACTATAATACTTTACCTTTATGGTAGTCTGGTTATTTGCAAAGCTTTAACAAGAATCTGGCTGCCCTTGTGCTCGGTAATCTTTGAAAACATTGTGTACCAAGGGCTTGCCTGGAATGTCATATTATGAATGATGGTCACTGAATCGGCTGTGGCCAGAAGGTTTTAAAGAACTAAGGTGAACTTGACAGAGTAAACGCTTCTTATGAAGCCCCTGAGAAAACTAGCCTAGTAGTAGGTCTGCAGGAGCCTGCCTGAGACATGGAAAATCAGACCATTTTATAAGCATACATTTTCTGCATAATTTTCAAGAGTGCCTATTTTTAGCATGAACGAGATTAAATTTCCTGGCTGACACTTCTCCACAATGTTGTTTATGACAATTTGACACTGCAACCAATCATATTGCTTCTATAAATCAAATATCTGTCTTTCTGAGGATACTTGAGCTACACGACCCCCCCCCCCCCCCCCCCCCGCCCCGCCGTGTGCAGGCATAAACACCTATAATAAACCCAAAGGTCCTAGGACCCTGTGTGATGTTAACTGCCAGGCTATCTGCCTGCAAATCACTTAAGCCTCTCTTGCTTCAAGTTCCTCCTCTGGGAGGAGAATCTCCTCTGAGCTCTCTCTAAACCAAGTTTTATTACCCACAATGGTGTCTTTTCCTCCACATAAAGTTTCATGGACCACGACAACCCTAAGCACAAATCAGGGCAGGCTCTAAAAACTGAGAGCATCTACACTACCATGAGGGCATTGGATTCCCCAGAACTGGAGTTATGGACAGTTATTAGCCACCATGTGGGTGCTGGGAACTAAACCCGGTCCTCTGCAAAAGCAGCCGAGGCTCTTAATCACTGAGTCATCTCTTGTCCTAGTTTGTTCTCCATTGCTGTGACAAAACACTCTGACCACTACCAACTTGGGGAAGAAAAGCTTTATTTATCTTACATCTTCCAGGTCACAGTTCATCAGGGAGCCCAAGGTAGGAACTGAGGGCAGGAACCTGGAGGCAGGAGCTGGAGCACAGGCCATGGAGGAATGCTGCTTACAGGCTTGCTCCCCCAGCCCCCGCTCAGCCTGCTTTCTTATGCAACACAGGCCCACCTGCCCAGGGGTGGCACTACCCACAGGGGGTGGACCCTCCCACACCCTCCCACACCCTCCCACACCCTCCCACACCCTCCCACATCATACAACAATCAAGAAGGTGCCCCTCAGACATGACCACAGGCCAGTCCAATAGAGGCAATCCCCCGATTGAGGCTCCCTCAGCCCAGGTGTGCCACGTTGACACTAGCTGTCCCTCACAGCTCTCTTGCCCTCTCAGGTGACCAGTGTTGGCAATAGGTACTTTTACCCATTGACCCATTGCCAATGTTTCAATCTTCAAGTATGAATTTAAATAAAGTATTGGCATAGTAGTTATCCTGATATGTGGAAAATAAGGACTTTTTTCTTAATCTTAAGGGCAGTTTCTATAAATGTACTTCCTTTAGACACAGGGACATGAACTGGATATTGAATTAATACCTTCTGAATGATCTCACTTATGTGAAGTGCTGGATTCAAATTCCAGGTTTGCAGCTCTCAAGCTTTGTAACCTAAAGCAGACTATTTAAACTTCTCAGCCTCATGTTTTCCTTGACACGTACCAGTGCTGTGGAAGGTTTATAGCTAGGCCTCTGATGGAGCCTCACAGAATCTATGAAGAGGCTTCTGGGAGTTATTTGTTGTTGCTGTTATTGTGAAAAACGATTACTAAGGCTTCCATGATGACTTCAAAAAACAAAAGTAAGTTGCAGAGCACTCCATAACATACGATAACAATTAGGCATTAGAAATAGAAAGCAGGGGCTGGAGAGTTGGCTCAGTGGTTAAGAATACTGGTTGTTCTTGCAGAAGACCTGGGTTCAAATCCCAGCACCCACATGGCAGCTAACAACTGTCTATAACTCTAGTCCCAGGGGATCCGACAGCCTCTTCTGACCTCCGCTGGCATTGCATTGCACAGGTGCACTTACCTACATACAGGCAATACACTCATACACATAAAATAAAAAGAATAAATAAGGGGGCTGGAGAGATGGCTCAGTGGTTGAGAACACTGACTACTCTTGCAGAGGACCCAGGTTCGATTCCCAGCACCCACATGGCAGCTACAAACAGTCCTGAACTCCAGTTCCAGGGGAATCGGAAACCCTCTTCTGAACTCCACAGCATTGTAAGACACAAGTGCACTCACTTACATGCAGGCAACACACTCATACATATAAAATAAAAATAATAAATTTTTAAAATGCTAAAAATAATAAATTAAATAAATTTTTAAGTTAAAAAAAAAGAAATAGAAAGCAATATGGCTTGTGGAAACAGACAGATGGATGGATGTAGAGTTCAAAATATACTAAATGTATGACACTGCCCTCAGGAAGACAGGCAAAGCATAATGGGGAAGAGATCAAGTGGCCTTTCTCTTTGTTTTGTTTTTTGAGACAAGATCTCCTTGTAGCCTCAGCTGGCCTAGAACTCAGTATGTAGAGCAGGCTGGCCTCAAACTCACAGAGATCTGCCTGCCTCTGCCTCCCAGCGCTAGGACTAAAGGCATGTGCCACCACGCCTGGCTCAAGTGATCTTTTTTTTTTTGGTCTTTTTGAGACAGGGTCTCCCTGTAGCCCCAGCTGTCCTGGAACTCACTGTGTAGACCAGGCTGGCCTTGAACTCACAGAGATCTGCCTGCTTCTGCCTCCCGGCCATCAAGTGATCTTTTAACTTCCCTGTGGTGTCTGGATTCTTTGCCTATGGTAAGTATGACACACATCTGTCTGGAGACACGCTCACATGAACATCTATCTGCTCACTGAGTGTCCAGGACGGCACTTGTTCAACAGAAGTATGTCTTAGTATTAACTGAAGACTTTGGGGTCTGGGATGATGGCTCAGTCACTGAAGTGCTTGCCACACAGACATGGGGACCGAAGCTTGGATCCCCAGTACCCAGGAAAGTGAACGCTAAGAAAAGGTGAGAAAACAGCAGGAGGGGGTAAGCCGAGGCACCGCTAGACGGGAAGGAAGGACTGCCGATTTCTCAAGGCAGGGAAGGAAGGACTGCCGATTTCTCAAGGCACTTCGAAGACAATGACACCTGCCACTTTCTCTTTCCTTTCACAGGAGAACCCCGTGGCGTCTGTGTATGCCTAGGCACTGTCTACCTCAGCCCCCTCGGTTGGCTCCTCTCAATCCCAGCTGTAAGCTCGCCACTCCCAGGCCTCCCCGCAGACACACCCAGCCTGGCCTCCTGGCTGTCAGTCCTCTTGTTGCTTGGGTTTGTCCGCTTCTACAACCTCAACTCCATCCTCATGATGTGGCTCTGTCGCGCCTCCACATCAACTTCCATGAGATGCAGATGGCCAGGCAATTGCCTGCCTCCTCCTTCACTTAAGAGTCTCGTTCAAACTCAGTAACAACCTGTAAACAGGTCCTCTGCCACAGCAAATTCAAATGGCCCAAAATGGGCTCTCAAATTATCCATTCCTGTCCTGTTCCCACCACCCATCTAAGCCACCATGATACCTCTGTAGATTATAATAACCATGTGCAACTTCTGTAATCAGATCATCCCATCGTAGCCATTGGTTTTTTAAAATTTTTTTATACTTTTTTTATTTTTTAGAAGAAGCATTTCATTACAGCTTTAACATACTCAATAACAATTTCCAGAGCAAAGGTATTGTTTTAAGAGAATGAAGATATCCCACAGTGTCCACCAGCCACTGTGACCTTGCACAGGGCTGTTACCCCTCACTCATGCCGTTCCTGTTAGTTCTTAGAACTCTCCAAGCCTGGGGAATGTGCACTTCATCTTCTCACTGCCCTGCCACGTACTCCTTACCGCCCCTTCCCATCTTTGTGCAGGTGGCTGAGTGTCCACACCAAGAAATGCATCTTATGCACCAAGCACTACTGTGTGTGTGATATGTGTTCATGTGCTTGTGCACATATGCATGTGGTTGTGAGTGCATGTGTGCTCACGCACATGTGTGTGCAGGCCTGAGGTCAACGTTGAGAGCTGTTTACTAATTTCCATCTTCTTTTATCGGAGCCTGCGCGGCACCACACGGGGTGTCCAAGCTTACCTTTGAGCCTGGAGGGGGAGCCAAACCAAGGAACGAATAAATAATGTTCTCTTCTTTTGCAGAGAAGAAAGAGTCAAAATCCTTGAAGCAAAGAAAGACCATGTTTAAATCAATTATACACTGCAAGCTCATATGCACACCTAATCTGGTTCTTCTTATCAGTCAGTTAACTAGCACAAAAGGTTCTCTCAGTTTGTTTTGTCAAAGATGACTAAGCCCCAAAGTTTAAAAATCTAACCATTAACTTTGGGTTTGCATTTATACATTTTCATTGTGTCTACATAGCACAATGAGAAAACACACAACTAAACACAATGCATACACAATACACACCCAAACATACATAACACACACACACCTAGTCATGCTCAGGAATTGCTAACTAGACTCCCGTGTGCACCGTTAGTGGCTTTTCTGAAAGCTCGTATTTCCATCTGGTTTCCTTGACATTCGGACCTGGGTCAGTAGACACTGAGAGCACGTGGGGTTTTCCTGCTCATAGCAGCTCTGAGAGTCCAGGATCCAAAGCAAGGCCTTGAAAGATGGAGGCCCAGAGTCTCTAGTTCTTCCCAGGTGGGACACTGCCTCCTAGAGAGAGGAGGCAGGTTCAGGAAGCTAAGGGAACCCAGAAGCTCAGGAAACGGACCAGATCCTGGCAGCTGGGAAAACATCCAACTCACAGCCGCTCCCGAGGTTCTTTAGGCTGTAAACCATTGCTGAGGAGACTTGCGTGGAGTTGCCTGCAGGTGGAAAAGCAGCTCCCAAGACGCCGCCTTGGGAGTCATCACCCACGCTGAGGGCGGGCCTCTCGTGATGCGGCCACCTTTGAGTCACCCATCTCCTCAAGGTTACCCAAATAATACTTTATTATTTTTATGTGTATGAGTGTATTGCCTGCATGTATGTGAGTGCACCCGTGTCGTGCAATGCCACGGAGGTCAGAAGAGGGTTTCAGATTCCCCTGGAACTGGAGTTAAGGATGGTTCGTAGCAGCCACGTGGGTGCTGGGAATCGAACCCGGGTCCTCTGCAAGAGCAGTCGGTGCTCTTAACTGCTGAGCCATCTCTCCAGCCCCGAGACAGCACTTTTAAAAAAGATTTTATTTATTATTTTTATTTTGTGCATATGAGTGTATTGCCTGCATGTGTGTAAGTACACCCATGTCGTGCAGTGCCCAAGGAGGTCAGAAGAAGTCATCGGATCCCCTGGAACTAGAGTTACATGTGGTTGTTAGCTGCCATGTGGGTGCTGGGAATTGAACCTGGGTCCTCCGCAAGGGCAGTCAGTGCTCTTAACCACTGAACCATCTCTCCAGCCCCAAGACAACCCTTTGTATTGTCTATTATCTATTATCTATTAAAGCTAAAATGCTCATGCCTGGGGCCTAACAAATCCAGAGAAGCTCACATGTGACCACGAGCCCTGGGGATAACAATGCTTATATGGCAGCCCCAAAGCAGAAAACAGACAGATGATCTTTCTGGAACAGAGGAAATGAATAGACGAAGCACCCTGGGATGGATGTGTCTTTAGAACTCTGACGGCAGCAAGTCAGGGAAGTGTTGGGAGCCGTCTCAGCATATTGGGAGACTGAGTCTTAGCCACTTCTTCACAACTGCTGACAGGCCTCAGCTGGCTATTTTCCATTCTGCCTGCAGCCTTGGCCCGAAAACTTTGGCAAACAGCCAGGGCCCACAACCTTGACCCAAAACCTTGGTCTCGCAGACATGGGATGGATCCCATGGCGTTCGCCTGCAGTCTTGTTTTCTTTTCCAGTAACTGCCTCGCTCTCAGTGGATTCCTCCCTTGGAGTGCACCTGGGTCTTTGCTATCTGGCTGATATGATTCAGTCCAGTCTGTAGTTCTTATTTAACTGTATGCTTGTGCTTCAATAAACGAGACTTGATCAGAGCACTATTTTGTCTCCATTTCTCTTGCCCCTTGGCTCATCCACATCCCCACTCCCCAATCCAGGTACCCCATTGCAGACCCAGCAGTCCAGGACAGAGTGGCGCCCAACGTGGCCTGGATACTGGGGACAACGTGAGGGACACTATGGCAGAGTGGCGCCCAACGTGGCTTGGATACTGGGGACAACGTGAGGGACACAACGAAAGAAGAAGGGGTGCACACCCGATCAAACAATAGTTCGGAGACGTCGCGGTAGCCTGCTGTGACTGAGCTGACAGGTAAGTTGGTCGTCAATCATGGGGCAAGAATTAAGTCAGCATCAAAAGTATGTGATGCAATTAAGAGAAGCGTTACAGGCAAGAGGAGTAAAAGTTACAACTAAAGATTTATTTCATTTCTCTGATTTTATAAGACATCTGCCCATGGTTTCCCCAAGAGGGGGTTATAGATGTAAAGAGATGGAACAGAGTGGGAGATGCATTACAAGAATTCTCTACAGTGTTTGGACCAGGAAAGGTCCCGGTTACCGCTTTTTCTTATTGGAATTTAATAAGAGAGTTAATAGATAAGAGAGATGAACATGAGCCAGTAGTAGCAGTTGCCCAAGCTAAAGAGATTTTTAGAAGTAGTTCTCAGTCAGAGTTGAGGGAAATTCTGGATACTCCCAAGGACAGGCCTGACTTGACTTCTTTTGATAGTGAAGATGAGGATTCTTCTCAAAATACAAAAAGGGAGTCCTCTGGGTCCGTTAAAAGGAAGGGGACTCAAGAGGATGACAAAAACTTAAAATAGGTAAAAAAAAATAAATAAATAAAAATAAATAAAAATAAAAAAAACTGTTGTGGATAGGAAAAAAGTTTGCCACAATCCTCGAAGGCCTGGCATCCATTTATACAAAGGGGACTTTAATGACCCTGATAGATTTTCTTCCCATATGGAGGCTTTTCCTGTAACAGAAACAGTTGATGACCAGGGGCAGACATGGAGATATAATAGAGGACATGAATTCCAAGTAATCAGAGAATTAAAGGCTGCTGTGTCACAGTATGGGGCTACAGCTACATATACCTTGGCTCTTGTGGAAGGGGAGGCTGAAAAATTTCTAACTCCTATTGATTGGAATACTCTGGTAAAGGCAGTCCTTAGTGTGGGTGATTATTTGCTATGGAAATCAGTATTATAACAACTGTAAAAAAAAATCAACAAACTGAAAATGGATGGGATTTTGATATGTTAATAGGTAGAGGCCAGTATGAATCCAATGAACGACAGATGCACTATGATGCAGGTCTTTTTGCACAAATTCGAGTTGCTGCCATGAAAGCATGGAGAAAACTTCCAGTCAAAGGGAACCTGGGAGCTTCTCTCATTTCAGTTAAGCAGGGATCTGATGAGCCTTTTGCAGATTTTGTTCATCGGTTAATGACGACAGCAGGGAAAATATTTAGAAATGTTGACGCAGGGCTTAAGTATGTGAAACAGTTGGCATATAAAAATGCTAATCCTGCCTGCCAGGCAGCCATTAGGCCTTACAGGAAAAGGACTGATTTAACTGGTTATATACACCTGTGTTCAGATATAGGTCTGTCTTATCAGCAGAGACTTGCCATGGCAGCGGCTTTTAGGGGACAAGGCGTAAAAAATTTTTTTGACGAGTAAATATAAAAAACAAAGGCAAGGGGTGTTCTAAATGTGGTAAGAGTGGGCATTTCACCCGGGAGTGCAAATCAAGGAATGACCAGGAGGACCTGGGACCTTCTCTCACTTCAGTTAAGCAGGGGTCTGATGAGCCATTTCCAGATTTTGTTCACTGGTTAATGACCACAGCAGGAAAAGTATTTGAAAGTGTTAATGCAGAACTAGAGTATGTGAAACAGTTGGTGTATGAAAATGCTAATCCTGCCTGCCAGGCAGCCATTAGGCCTTACAGGAAAAAGATGGATTTGACTGGCTATATTCGTCTATGTGCAGACATAGGTCCATCATATCAACAGGGGCTTGCTATGGCAGCTGCTTTTACTAGACAAACTGTAAAAGATTTTCTGGCTGAAAGGCAAAAGGCTAAGAGCAAGGAGTGTTTCAAGTGTGGTAAAAGTGGGCACTTTGCCCGGGACTGCAAAGCTGATAATGCTCAGCATAAGACTGATAATGGAAAAGTTCCTGGAGTGTGTCCCAGATGTGGAAGGGGAAAGCATTGGCTTAATGAGTGCAGGTCTAGAACTGATATTGATGGGAGACCTCTACCTCCTCCTCCCCATCAGGGAAACTGGTGGAGGGGCCAGCCCCAGGCCCC